GTATTTAATTTCTTAACATATAGCAAAATAGGTTCCAGTGGGATTTCATTCATTCATTTCATCGTAACAATTTCAGAAATTTGAAACAATAGTAATTTCTACCATACAACTCCTTTGAATGTATTTATTTGATCATTACAAATTAGTATTTGAAACAAAATTTATTGTAGCAAAATTTTCTTGGCATGCCCATCATCCGTATTTTTTCCCTTGGAATATTCTAGCTATTACTGTTAATTTAGCAAAAAAAAATATTTATTGTTTATGTAAAAGGTTTGGATCTCCCATGTTACATATGTACCAGTATCTTTATTCAATCAAAGAAGGATTATGTTTCTTAGCTTTAACTTTTACCGGTCTTTTTATTCGGAGATTTTTTGGCTTGTCTTCTCCCCCCACTTTTTACACACATTTTAAAATCGACAGTTCACCGAAGGATGGCTATCGGGGTATATCAGTATGATTAACTATGGATTAAAATTGAAATGGTTAAATACGTTTTAAATTATGGTATCTATTTTTCAGAAAATAGATAATCTAGATAAAATAGATAATCAAAATAGAAAATCTGAAAGAAATATACATGTGTATGGAATATAACTTTTAATATTAAGACTTCTTAACATGAATTCAAAATTCAATTAAGCGTTTGTAAATTGCTCAGAAAACAAATATGCAGCATCTTTAATTCAGTCATGCATAGACATCGTTTAGATCGCTGTACATGTTCCATAGCTAGTAACGTGTATGTACAGTGCCCCGTATATCTACATCAAGTTAAATACTTAAACAAAATTATGAATAAATTTACGTACTAAATTGTAAATATATCATATACCTATTAAAAAATGTCCGCATCAAGTTTCAAATTTTTGTTACGCTTTGAAATTCAATTTTATTTCTTGTTTACAAAATGCAGTTAACAAAAATTACTTCCGTGTTTACAATACTGTGACTTTGACGTCGTTTTCTGTGCATTGTGACGTCAAAAGATAAGGGCCCTTTTCTCATGACGGCAGTCAATTGTCAGATCTAAAATATATTCAAATGGCACAAGCCATTGCCTGGAAATTATTTCAAAAACTAATTCTAAGTGCATGATAAACATCAATGGAAGCTGTAAGGTTTAAAGGAGTCTCTAGATCGAGATCCACAAGTAAATAGAAACTGCAATGGAAAATACAATACAATTTTTTCACATGCATTGTATTACTGCTGATTCATCATGGCTTTGGTATTCATGTACATGTAAAGAGGAGGTTTATTTAAAGATTTTTACCACATACAGACATAATTCCTCGGCCCACCTCGGCCCAATGACATCTCGACCCAATGTCACCTTGGATATGACAGGTCCATGGTAAGCCATTTTGCTTTTTATTCAGAAAATAAAATTTGTCATAAAATTACAGAGATATCTCTCAATTTAGAGAAATATCTCTTAAAAATAGAGATATCTCCCAAGTAAAAGAGATATATCTCATTTTAAAGAGATATCTCTTTGAGAAAGAGATATCTCCTAAACTTAGATATCTTCTAGAGATACATGTATCTCCTGTACTTAGATATCTCCTGTACTTAGAGAGATATCTCTTATACTTAGAGAGTGTGTCTTAAATGGTCCGGCTTGTTATTAATTTTTGGCCAACCTTTCTGGGCCCAAGTTATGAATCTCACGGGCTGAGGTCTCTTTGGGCCAAGATGTCTGGCTATTTACTAGGTGCAGAACTGTAACTCTCTGCCTAATAAAATTCAGACATATAAAGGAGAAAGCTACAAATCCAAGTGTTGTAAAAACCTTCATCGCTGCTTTTTTGTTGCTCACTTCAGGTATTATTTATAGAATTTATTTTTTTTCACCTTATCGATTATCAGGTATCATTCTTAAAGCTGGAGAAAGCTAAACAGTCCAGAAATAATACCTAAAGCGAGCGACAGTAATCATTCTGGCAATCACTATTAGTATAGTTATAATTATTGTATATATTAAAAGGAAAGGTTAATCTAAGTTGTAAGAACTTGTTACCAATCCCTTTGTATGAATTATACAATGAAATATGTTCAAACAAGACAATAAATCAGCGGCTTTAATCAAAGGTTTTACCTGTACAATGCATGGATCTGTAGCTATTTGCCTTATCTGTCCGAATTTTCTCAAGCAGAGAGGGTACAGGGTTCGTTCGCTCGATCTACCTGTTAGCAGGAGTCCATTCAACCGAAATATTGTTCGCCCAATATCTTCTTCGCCCTATATTTATATACAGCTGTATATACCCAATACTACATGAATTAAATATTATAACATGTATTTTCTATTCCGGTTTTAATTTCTTTCAAACTTGGGATTTTTATTTTTCAAATGATACGAAGAATGATATTTATTTAGTCTTAATTAATTTTTAATTTGATTCTAATGTTTTTTGAAGGCCTTAGTGTTTGCATTATAGTTAATTAGATGATTAATATCGACGTTAATTAGGGGAATACATCTGTGGTATATTTACGAATTTTGCTATGTTTTGAAAACAATTGAAGGACTTGGAGCATTAGTAAGTCCATTGTCGGAACTGAACAGCGAATAAAGAAGATTATACCTTTGAAGAATCTCTCCCTTTGATCTCAAGAAATGATTTAATAAGAAGATGGAAAATGAAAATTCTTATTCTATATTAACAGGTCCAGTACAATCTCTTGATTTAGCTATATTAATAGCTTTAAATAGCTATATAGCTTTATTACGCTATTCAAAATAGCGTTATTTAGCTATTTATATAAAGATTTTCACAAAAATGTTTTTTGCTGAAAATAAACAAAAAGTCGCATGTATTTGACTCTTCATACATGTACTATGGACTATTAAAACAACAACCAAAATCAAAGATAGTTCTAACTTTGCAGCTTTTGAATACTTTTAAGCAAAAAGAAAATTTCTATTGTTAGACTAACTGTCCACTACCTTGGGTGCCTTGAGGCAAGGAAAAGTATGATTGCTTCTCATTGTGCTGAACTGTTACCAATCAATTATCTTGTTGAACATAATTGGTCTCCATTATAATATCATTGCAGAAGTAACTGTATCAATTGCTTTATATAGCCCCAAAACTTGTAGAACTTTGAGTACAAAGTCTCTCACGGAGATGTAATTTGATGAATGATTTTTACATGTATTATTTTAAGAAGAGTTCAAGGTTGTATATTATCACTGCACCAAGGTGCGTTTTTTGTACATACTGAGAAAATTACACCTTTAAGAAAAATATGTAGTAAAATAGCTAAATTAAGCTATTCTGAATAGCTTAATAAAGCTCTATAGCTATTTAGAGCTATATAGCTAAATCAAGAGATTGTACTGGACCTGATTAAATACAGCGAACTGGAACAGACCCTTTGCAAACAAGGTTTAGGGCAAGCGAACTCTGGGCTAATGGGAATTTGGGCGAACGGCAACCGATTTTTAGGGCGAACTAACATACAACATAGCTACAATTTTGCAGCTACAGCGTCGTGCCAAAAGTATTCGCGGAAAAATGGCGGCCGTCGTAAAACGTTCACGCTTCGCGTTTTTTCAAATCGTCCTAAATTATTATGCAATCGCTTTTTTGTATTTTGACATCATCCCCGAAACTGCGTAAGGTCAAAGTTTACCGCGATGTCATGTTTGACGTCTGCTAAAGTTAGACTGCCGAATATTACGGACTGTAAACAAGATGGGTAGAAAATCAAAAGAACTGTCACTAGAGGTAAAACAGCTGATTATAGATTTGAAAGAAAACGGACATAAAGTAAGTGAGATCTCAAGAATTATGAAAATTCCCGAATCTACATGTAGATCAATTTTGAAAACGTTTCATCAGCGAAAAAGTGTGGAAAGAGCTCCTCCTTCGGGACGTCCCAGGAAAGTGTCAAAACGTGGTGAAGTAAGATTACTTCGTATGGTTAGGAAGAACCTTGGAAGTGTTTTGAAGGACATAACAACTGATTTTAATGATGGAAATTATTGTGAACCTATTAGTGAACGGACAGTCAAGCGGATTTTACATAATAACAAAATTTACAGAAGAGTAGTGAGGAAACGTATGGTTGTCAAAGAAGTAAATAGAAAGAAACGTTTAGCATGGTGTTTACTCAAACAAAGATGGACTGTTGAACAAAACTGGAAACCTATCATATTTAGTGATGAATCTCAAGTTGTTATAGGGCAAAATAATTGTGTGTATGTCTGGAGATCCGCCAGGAATCGTACCGTCCGGAGTGCATGTATGCGATTTCAAAACCCAAAGTTTCCGTAATGATATGGGGATGCATCAGCTGGTATGGTCCTGGGACTCTATGCAAGGTACAAGGTAACATTAATGCTGAGAAATATATAAATATCCTTGACAATCATCTGTGGCCTGTTATTGCCCGACATTTTCCTGCAAACAACTACGTTTTTTCAGACGATAATGCGCCGGTACATGAGCTCGTGTTGTAGAGGAATATAAACGTGCAAATAATATTCGGGGTATGGTGTGGCCGGCCCAGAGTCCGGACATTAATATTGAAAATTGTTGGCAGAGAATTAAAAGACAGATCCAAAATCACGCCAGAGATATTACCACCCCTGATCAGTTGTTCGATGTTATTTTACACACTTGGCAGAATTTCACCATAGAGGATCTATTCAAAACTTTTATAAATCCATCCCAAAACGCATCATGGCATGTATACGATCCAAGGGACATTTAACAAAGTACTAAAGGTAAGCGTTTGTTTTGTTTTTGTTGTATTTGGGTGACTTTATGTTGCAAGCGCGATAACTCTCAGATCACGTCCGCCATTTTTCCGCGAATACTTATGGCACGACGCTGTAGATCATAGCTATTAACCAAACCACCGTGGTCCCCTTCAAGACCTGTCAATGCAATGATATGATAAATAGCGTTACTGTATAATGTATATGTAGGCCCCTATTGATCACATGTACACATATATATATATATATATATATATATATAAACCTGAATTCAACGGCAACTGGTATTTTCATCCCACAAAATGAAACTGATGAAAAGTAGAATGTTAATTTTCAACGCCGTGTGTCTCCGGTAAACTCCTACAGACAAACTCTTCGGATGCTTCCCTCTGTTTTAAGTCTCGCAAATTTTAGTTTGTTTACTCACAAAAATAATGAAAAATCAAATGTCTCTCTGTTCATGTGTAGATGAGGCCTCGACGGAAGTAGCGCCGAGTAGTAACGGCAAGCGGTATATCTAGTTTTCCCGAAGCCCGACGGTCAGGGATTTTGATTTTTTGGCGATTCTCTTTTCAAGGTGCACAGAAACTATTCAAACTTTTCAGGCACATTTTCTAGGTTTAAATGAATTCATTAATACGTAAAAACTTTGACAAATTTGTGTGTTTATTACTAAATCAGATGTACCACCTGCCTAAACTGGTATTTACCGTACGGCAGGAAAATCAGATATCAGACAGGAAGGCCATTTCTATCCATTTAAAAAAAAATATTTAATTGTTGGAGATCAGAAGGTGAGAATTTATTAATTGACGTGTTGGTAGTCAAAGCCAACAATAATTACTTAATTAGATGGCGGTATTATAATTAGCATGGTGTTAAAATAATTCATAATTATATGCTATGTATACTACAAACACAGACATAAATAATTATATCTCTGCTACAAATATAATCTTCTTGAATTAAAAAAAATATATCAAAAAAAAAAAATTGACAATCGAACCATATGGAACGCCACAACTGTCTTAAGGGTACAAAATATACATGATGGTGTCAAATCGATATAATATTACTTAAGTCTACCTTTTAGATCATTAAGTCTGTTTTATATATTATGTAGTAAAAAA